TTTTTTTTTTAATTGAGAAACTAAAAATTTGATCAGTGTGCTACCCAGTACCTGCTTCCAATACTTATGTTATCTCCCTCCATGTTGCCTCCTCGCCCTGCTGCTTGAGCCTTCTTGCCGAGTTCCAGCATCTCCTTTATATTTAGCTCCACATTCATCACTGAAATATAACCATCTGCAAAGAGAGAGCAGCAAAGTAATGACACCAAATGCGGAGACACTCCTGTTACATCAACGTCTGTTGTATCCATGCTATGTTTTTAAAGTCCAGATGTTATTAAGCCATTCTTATTTCATACTTACAAATAACACAAAAGTGAACTCACACTTGTTGTTGGCGTCTCGGGCCAACCATTTGCCTTTGGGGCAGTTGGTGGTGCGGATAATGCTGACCGTGTCCCCGCTCTTCACAGGCAGATCATTCTTGCGGACTTTACTGGCCACCATCACCTTGGCATGGTACATCGGCTCTTCGTCCCCCGTCACCTACGAGGTCACGTAAAAGACTGTATGTAAACGATGGACATATCCACGATGATGTTAGAGTTTTAAGGTTCAATATTAACATTTTGACCACTGCCCTGTCCTTTTTCTTTTTGGATGGACGGAGGCTGGAGTGCCAATTAATCTGCTAATGTTTGCAAACTTGGAGAGCAAGCTGCATTCATAAACCCTGCGGCTGCAACGTACACACACACACACACACACACACACACACACCTACTAATTATTGCTAAGATTACAAAGCACTTACTAATCGGCTTCAGCTGTCGGTGTCTGAACACCTATAAAATCGACTTAGCCACTCAGAGATGTTATGAGCAAGTAAACTATCCACAGCAGTGAAAACTTTTTTGTACCAGGTTGTAAACAAGCTTTTTAATGCTGTAAAGTTGGACATTTTAACACGAGACTATGGGGATTCCTACAGGTATTGGAGTTTTTAACACTTTCTGCATTGGTTTCATTTTCAGAAGCTGTCCTTGGATGTCACACACTCACAGGGTGTACTCATAAAGACTTGAAATTAGACTTCTAGTTAGTGAAATTGATCACATCAGGAACACATTTACTGAGGTTATACATGAAAGGATTTTTTTTTTATTTCCAAAAAACAGAGGTGTCACCCTCTGCTGGCTATTAGAAAGAAAGGTATATGGTACTTTTTCAGACCGTAAAGCCACATCCATCTGTTATACATTATAAGAGTCACATCTTAGCAATGAGCTGCACTGTCTTACAAACACCTAAGCAGCAAAAAAAGTAAAACATTTTTGTGTTTTACATCTTTGAAGAGATGCTGCATTGATTCCATGTTTGAAGTTTTATTAAAAAAAACAACTAAAAATTCAGGAAGTAACATTTGCCAACTGATGACTTAGAAAAGCTGAATAAACAGTAACCAAAGGAAACTAAAATCAATAGTCATCATCTCAAAACAAATCACCCCCCCTTACTTTGAACTTCTTTTTCATTTCATTTTCCTTCTTCTCCCTCTCTTTTTGCTCCTTTTTTTCCTTTTCCAATCGTTGTTTCTCCCGCTTCTTCTGTTCTTTATGGTCAGCGGGGTTGGGAGTGTTCATCATGCTAAGAAAAATGTGAAAAAAGGGGTTAGGTATACGAGCAGCTTGTTTGTTTTTCTTGGTTGTTTTTTTTAAATCACATGTTCTGTAAAAAGATTTACATGTCTGACATACCTGTGCATATGATTATGTGCCAAATGTTCACCCGATACACAAACCCTGCAGTTTGATAACCATAGGAAGGGAATGGATGTCACAGTGTCAATGACAGAACAAAGGTATTACGTTTACGAGAAGGGAAGGAGGGAATGAAGGAAGGGAAAAAAGAAAAAGCATACCATGGATTCTTTTGCCTTTTAACACATGATGACTCCTTTTGAGAAAAAACCCAAAAAAGACAACACTAGATACAAAAAACACACTAAAATACACTTTTTAAAGTTGCTAAGATAATTATATACTCTGATTTAAAAATGAGTTACCTTTGGCTGGTGGTCCGCGTATGGATCTGTACAAAACAAAAACAAACAGTGATTATAAATGAGAATAAATGTCTGCAAAT